GTCCGATGTTATAGTCGTGAGATCTGACAACGGAGGAGAGTTTTTTGAGGGGGAGTTCGGCAGGGTGTGCCGGAAGTACTGCATCAAACAGGAGTTCACCCCCGCGCACAGCCCAGAATACAACGGTGTAGCTGAGAGAGCACTGGGTCTGATCAAGGATGCAGCACTAGCCGCCCGTATCCAAGCGCCAACTCTTTACCCCGGAGCACCGAACTACCCATCCCTTTGGGCCGAGGCCATAGCCTGGTCATGCAACGCCCTGAATGCACCTCCACCACATCAAACCCAGAGAACGAAGTCGCCGTACGAGATGTGGCACGGGCACCCTCCCCCGCCGGGGGCGACGTACCCGTTCCTCAAACCTGCCGTATACAAGGTCAAGCGCACACACAAGTCCGAGCCAAAAGCCCAAAAAGGTTTTTACCTCGGCCCGGGAATCAACACCCACCGTGATTGCGTGCGCATCCTCAACGAAAAACGCCGAGCGATCACAACTCGCAACTTCACCTGGCAATCCGTGCCCGCCGCCCCCGCCGCCCTGCCCCAGTCGCTGCCTCCCATCGCAGAGGAGGAAGAGGAATTCGCGACTGAGGAGGACGAGGTTGGGGAGGGCGCGTCGAACCAAGGTGGAGGGAGGGCGGAGAGAGAACCTGTGGATGGAGGACCAGGTTTCAACCTTGGCACGACGGCAGCCCCAGGGCCCGCGGGGCCGCCCGCGCGCGCAGCGCCGGCGGCACCGCCGGCCGCGCCCCAGGAGTCGGGCGCGGGCGACGCTGGCGATGGCGCCCCCTCGAGCAGGGAGAGCGCGAGCGTCGCCCCATCTACCACGTCGACCGGCACGGCCGATGTGGGCGGCGGTGAGGACGACCGCCGCAGCAGCAGCAGCCGCGGTAGCGGCGGCAGAGACAGCGACAGCAGCAGCGGTGGCAGCAGCGGCGATGACGGCGGCAGCGACAGCAGCAGTGGCAGCGACAGCGAGACGGATCTCCCGGCGCTCTGTGGGCCAGAGGCCCGGCGGCTCGCCCGCTTCGACAAGCCGGCGGAACTCACCAGCCGCCGCACTAGGGAGAACCCTCGCCGAAATCCGAGG